AGTTAGTAGGACAAACACAGGGTCAGTAATAAAAATTGCTGGCATTTATTGAGCACTCACATGCAAAACATCTGTTGGAGGCTTAGTGTATTATTTACCCCTTGACACTCCCACCACCATGCGGAGGTACTGTTACTACCCCTGCATTGCTTGTGAGGAAACTGTCTGGGCAAGCTACCTGTTTTGTGCCTCAGAGTTAGACACATTTCTTTATTACCACACTTCTCAGTGCCTTTAATAGCGTTCCAGTGAAATGTCTATACTGGTCACAAGAGGAAGTGGTTTTTAGGAGGGCAGCTGGGCATGTTGAATTGTTTAAGGTAACTGAAAAGATGGTCTCTTCTTCCTGATTAAATGTACAATAATAAGTTCTGTATGGATTTTAGTAGGATATTCTGAATACTGATTTGCATTGTGAGTCTCCAAGAGAAGATTTGCTGCTTTTGGCATTTGGCTGGGTCCTCTGGGTCATCCTAATAAGGCGCTGGCTCATTGCTAAGTGCTATATGGACATTTCTCACTTAATCCCCAGGACAGTTTTGTGTACCCCAAGAGCTAAGACGATTCTCGTTCTGCAGGCGAAGAGCCTGGGTCCTGGAAGGTTAAGATGCTTGTTCAGGTCCGTGGTGTCTAGGAAGTGCCCATGCTGGGACTCATGCCCCCCTTGTGTCTGGCCTTTCTTGTCTCCCGGGTTTGTAGACACCAAATGGATGCTGCTGTTTTGCTCTCTTGGACAGCTTTATTTTTCTCTTACCAGGGCCACAATCATGTCTCTGGAAGACTTTGAGCAGCGTTTGAATCAAGCCATTGAAAGAAATGCCTTCCTGGAGAGCGAACTTGATGAGAAGGAGAATCTCCTAGAATCTGTTCAGCGACTGAAGGATGAAGCCAGAGGTCAGGAGGCCTTGGCTTTGTTCTTTGTACCCTCACCAGGTTTTCTCCTCTCCCTGCCTGAGAACAGCTTGTCCTGCGGTGTCGCCCAGTGTTACCTTTGCTGGAAATCCGTGCCCTGCTCGGCACACAGACAGTCTGGTCAGAGGGTATAGAACCACACTGGGCAGGCTTCAGCCTTGGTCCCCACCCCGTGCTAAGAATTGTCAGATGTCCGACCCTGTGAAGAAGACCCCTTGTGGATATTTAAGCCCACTCCGGGCTTTTTGATCGGTAGTATAAGAGTTTTGTGGAGAGAAAATTCGTGTTGATGCAGTTGCTAGCTAGCCTGTTGGTTTTGTGGCTTGCTGGCTGCTAATGCATGTGGCTTAGAGCTCTGAATTCCCATCAGCATTTGCTCCGTGGAAGTGCAGTTCCAGAGGTAGATCTGGGTGCAGAAGAGATTTTTTTAAACATCCCAATTAATTGTTCATAACATTAATTTGGTTCCTAACGTATAGATAATAGAAGGGAGATTAAAAAGAAAAACTTTTTAAAATATACATTGGGGTGCATGTATCCCTTTATTTTTATCATTTTTTTAAGATTTTATTTTTTTATTAGACCGTGAACAGGGGGAGGAGCGGAGGGAGAGGGAGAAGCAGACTCCCTGCTGAGCAGGGAGCTCAATTCGGGGCTCGATCCCAGGACCCCAGGATCTTGACCTGAACCAAATGCAGACGCTTAGCCAATTGAGCCACCCAGGGACCCCTAAGAAAAAACTCTTTTTTTAAGTTTGAAAGGTAGTTCTATAAATGCCCATGAGTAGTGAAGTGGTTAAATAAATTACATAAACTTATTTTCTGGAATGTTATAGATATAGTTAGAAAGATTAAGACATACTGTCATAGACAGTAGATATATTTCTATTTATACTTAATAAGAATTATTCCTATCATATGCTTAAGAGAAATACGTAATTCTTTGAAAATACAGAAAAAAAGGATTGACAATATCTCCCCCATATTATAGTGATCATGAGTGAGGAGGGGCATTTGGGGATGGGTTGAGAAAGCATATTTTCACTTAGAATTCTATATACCCTATTGCACTGAAATTGTTTTGGAGCAAGGAAAGCATTAGTGTATCTATCACTGCCATAGTTTTTAAAAATTTTTAAACCTTTTTGTTTTTACTAAAAAATTACGTAATTCTACAAGCCTGCTAGGCCAGGTCCTGTGGGTTTCACTTCGTTGAGGGTTTCCACCTATGGTTTTTCGTTCTGGCACTTCTTTTCCCTGACCAGTGTCTACTGCTGACCGTCCCCGCCCCCCCTTCACCCAAAGCAGGGACCTAATCTGAGTCCTTGTCCTGTCTCAGATTTGCGGCAGGAATTGGCTGTGCAGCAGAAGCAGGAGAGGCCCAGGACCCCCATGCCCAGCTCGGTGGAGGCCGAAAGGACAGACACAGCAGTGCAGGCCACCGGCTCTGTGCCGTCCACACCCATAGCTCATCGGGGACCCAGCGCTAGCTTAAACACACCGGGGACGTTCAGACGTGGTAAGGGCATAGCCATTGTGAGGATTTTCTTCGCTTCACAAAACTTTCCCGGGGGTAGGGTCCTGGGTGAGAGAGCCACTGGGCCAGGCTGTACTGCAGGGAGCAAACTGGGGTGTTCACGGTGGGGGTGGGGTGGGGAGGGGAGGCAGCTTTGAGATAAGCAAGAAGAGCTTGGTTGTAAGGTAGTAGGGAGCAGTGGAGTCTGTGGTGAGTGGGGAGTGGGGGAAGGAAGCTGCCACTCTGCTTCTACCCCAAGAAATGTGGGCCCAGCCTTAGCAGACATTTCCATTCTTCATCAGAAGCCGGAAATCCTTTTTTTTTTTTTTTAATTTTATTTATTTATTTGACAGAGAGAGATGCAGCGAGAGAGGGAACACAAGCAGGGGGAGTGAGAGAGGGAGAAGCAGGCTTCCCGCCAAGCAGGGAGCCCGATGCGGGGCTCAATCCCAGGACCCCGGGACCATGACCTGAGCCAAAGGCAGACACTTAATGACTGAGCCACCCAGGCTCCCCCAGAAATCCTCTTCTTGAACATGAAATCTCCCAAATTGCAAATTTCAGTAACCAGATAAAAAAAATTTTTGAAAAGCATTTTGTGGGCCTAGCAATAAATACATCCATCCAGAAGTGGAGCCAGTGTAACCTGGGCTGATGGTAAAAAAAAAGAACAATTTGAGTTTTCTCCCCAGCTCCTCTGCTGATTAACTGAGACTGTTACTGGGCCGCTTAATAGCAAGTAACAATGATAGACAATTACCGAGTGCTCGGTGTGTGCTAGTTAGCCACTGTGCTTCGCATGCTTTGCATACATATGACCTCACTGAATTCTCACCACAGGCCCAAGATGCAAGTGCTATCCCCATTTGATGGATGAGGAGACTGAGGCCCTGATAAAGGAGCTTGCCTAAAATCATATGGCTGGTAAATAGCAGAGTTGGGATTCAGACCCAGGCCGGCTGGCTCCAGGGCTCACACTGTTTTATCCCTTAGCCTGTCCCCTGGGAGCAAGAGGCTGGTGAGACTTCCAGAATCCCAGTCTAGAGCAGGGTTTTTCCACACTTGAGTATGCCCCTGAGATTCAGCAGGTGTGGGCAGGGCCTGAGATGCTGCATCCTAACCAGCATCCCAGTGATGCTGGTGCCGCTGGTCCCCAGGTCTTGCTTGGAGGAGAGAGAGGGGCTCTGGAGAGTTAAGCTTCTTACAGATGTGGTTTGCTCCAATGCTGTTCCTAACTATATGGAATTCCTAGAATTTCAAGAGGACTTATTTCAGTTTTGTTTTAAAAGAATAACACGTAAAGATAAACGTTTAATATAGTGGTTGTAAGGCTGCAAGAGTTTGGTCATCAAGTAGACTTTTCCTGTGTTAGTTAACTAGTGAGTCAACAGGGTAGCATCCGGGATCAGAGGTCAGAGTTAGCTTCCCAAGTCCACCCCTGTGGTTCTGCATTTAGGGACGTTAGTTCACGGACTTAGGACTGCAGGTTGGTATTACGTGCGCTTCCTTTTGCACACCCAGGTCTGGATGACTCCACGGGTGGGACCCCCCTCACTCCTGCAGCGCGGATATCGGCTCTCAACATTGTGGGAGACTTGCTTCGGAAAGTAGGGGTAAGACCACCACCTCCCTGGGGTTTGGTGTGGCTCCTTGCCTGTGTTTCAGGTTATCGGAGAGGGGTGACCTTACCAGTTCCTTTCCCCTTTAGCAGAGACTCCCTGCGTTTTAGGCAAAACTCTGGTTCTGTTAGTGTCCCTGAGCATCATTTGAGCTTCTGTGAGCATTGTTATTGACGAACATCCAGAGCCGTGACTCTGTCATCTCTTTGCCTGGGCATATCTTTCCCTGGTCATTTTTCGTTGGAATTTGGGAAATTGGGTTGGTGTCTATGATTTTTTTTTTCTTAATTTGAAAAAAACTGAGAAACATTTAAAAATTGCCTCCTCTTTTTAAATTTCTTAGGGAGTTAAAGACAGAAATCTCGAAAGTCTAGGGCAAAAAACTTTATAGGTTTTATGTTCATTACAGGGAAAGATTCTTTTGTGCTTAAGAAATAACATAGGTGGGGGCACCTGGGTGGCTCAGTCGTTAAGCGTCTGCCTTTGGCTCAGGTCATGATCTCAGGGTCCTGGGATCGAGTCCTGCATCGGGCTCCCCGCTCGGCAGGGAGCCTGCTTCTCCCTCTTGTCTCCCCCTGCTTGTGTTCCCTCTCTCTCTCTCTCTCTCTCTCTCTGTCAAATAAATAAATAAAATCTTTAAAAAAAAAATAACATAGGTATTCTTTGTGGTTGTTTCTTTTAGTTTTAAAAATGATGGCCTGGAAGATCACATAATTTAAATCCTGCCAGAACGTATGCAGAACTGCAACCTCATAGAAGGTTGCAACTCATTTCTCATGTTTTTCCTTTTACCTTTTGGTTGTCTGGTTTTCTGTTCTGTAAACACTTTTCTCTCTCTCTTTCTCTCTCCCTTTTTTTTAAAGATTTATTCATTTTAGAGAGAGCACAAGTGGGAGGGGCAGAGGGAGAGGGAGAGAATCTGAATCAGACTCTGCACTGAGTGGAGCCTGACGCGGGGCTTCATCCCATGACCCTGAGATCACAACCTGAGCTGAAACCAAGAGTTGGACGCTTAACCGACTGCACCACCCAGGCACCCCAACACATTTCTCTGGTAATGTTTTGCACAGTTAAAGTATAGGGAAGTGTGCGGTGGTCTCAGTGCCCTCTTGGTTTTCATGGGGTCCCTTTCCAGCAAGGCACAGTGCTTCCACACAAGCCACTCTGAGCATGTTTATTGAGGTAAACAAAAGAGCAAATCATTCCAAAAGTGGATTTCCTATTTCCCATAGGCAGAACTGGATAATAGGCGGGGTTAGTGATTCCCAAGAAGCCCCGAAATGTCTTAGGCCAGTGGCTCTAAAAGTTGGACATACATTGGATTCCTTCAGGGCCCCGCTTTGGAATTCCAGCGTCCAACACAATTTGAGAACCCCCGTTTTCGGTTATTGTCTATGCGCAGGCTCTGGGTGAGAGGTGAGTTCTTGTGTTTAACTTGGAGGATGAAAACGTGTTTCTCTGCAGGCACTGGAGTCCAAGCTGGCGTCCTGCCGGAACTTCGTGTATGATCAGTCCCCAAACCGAATGAGTGGCCCAGCCTCGGGGCGGGGGAGCAAGCACAGAGATGGTGGTGAGAGACAGCCGAGCAGCGCTGGCGTGCCTCTGGGTGACAAAGGGTCAGTACCTTTAGCTGTCCACTCCAGGGGGGAGCCCATAGCCATTTGGAAAAGTTGCGGGCTTATGTCCGTGAACCTTACCCTCTACCCCCTTGAGACAGAGTTAGGTGGTGTCTTCTGGTTAAGGGCAGATGGCCAGGAAGAGGCTCATTTTCATTATTTGATTCTGGCAGCCCCAGCTCCTGGTCATGCTGTGAGCATGTCCTGTATGAAACCCTTGTTTGGGACTTGGGCTTCAAACACTGCTCTGCTTCCCCCAGAGGATTTTTTTCTGAAGGGAAAAAAAAAAAAATCTTTAGAAACTCAGGAAACAGGCACTACCTTCCAGCCAGACTAGATTCCCAAAGCCAGTTGCCTGATGAGAAAACACAGATCTGACCTCTGACAGCTTTGGGTGTTTTCTTACTTGAGAATCGGGGCAGCTTCTAGATTCATTGATTTTTCTAAGCCGTGCCACCATCTTCCTGGCCCCCAAGCCACGTCACGTGGTAGACCCATGGCAGACTGATGGCAGGAAATGAAGACTCGTCTTCCATGGCTTGCACACAACTTCCAACCCTGTCGAAGAGGATGTTTTTAGCTGGTCTTCTGTGACCGGGCTTTTCATGTGGCCTTGGGAACATGCAAGCTAGCCGGCCAGTGTCTTTTTCTTCATTTCACTTCATGATACCCAGGGAGACACTCCTCCTGACTCTTGATATTCACTCTTAGAACTTTGTGGGCCCCGATTCTAGCCAGTCTGTCACAGCTGTCATGTCCGCCTAATTTGGTTTGCTCTATCTGAAGGTTGGGAAAACGCCTGGAATTTGGGAAGCCGCCTTCAAATATTTCCACACCGTCGCTGCCGTCAGCCCAGGGTGTAGTCAAGATGTTGCTTTAGGAAATCCACGGAAGCTGAAGCCCCGGTGTGTCCGTGCAGGAGTCCTACCTTTCTTTCCCTCTTTAAACTAGGTTTTTGTGTTTTTAAGTTAGTTTGAGAAATAGGAGCAGTCACATTAGCCAATGAGGCCATCGCCCATGGCCCCTGGTAGTTATCCTGGGGAAATGTCATGATCCCCATCCTGCTTGCTGGTGTGGATGGGGACAAACGGGACCCTCTGGAAAGGGCTCGGAGGTATGGACGCCGAGGCTACCCCATCATTGTGAGCTGACCTGAGTCCTGAATGGTTTTGAGACTGTGTTTTTTAATGTCGGGAGATGCCTTAAAAGTGGGATATGAGCCCACCTCAGACTCAGGCCGTCTTCCAGAACAAAATCTCCCAGGGCTCTGTGGCACAGGGAGGGTCTGTGTAATGAAATCATGTCTAGGAGAGAGGAGTAGAATAGGCACATGTCTTTTTAAAAAGAAACTCTGGTGTTGTGTACCTCTGGGACTTTTTAATCTGGCTCTTACTGAGGCATTGAGAGGTGTGCTTGTGTTTCAGAGGAGATCTTGTGTGGACCAGGTCAGTGGAAAGTCTGTGTCCTCTTTAGATCAATCCTGATGGTTAGTCTTCCTTAAACTTCTGCCCTGGCCTGAGGGTGACCTCCGCTTCAGGACCCTGACAGTCTTTAGGGTGTCATGGCCTTGGGAATGCAGCCCCTAAGAGCAGGACATCATTCAAAGCCTTGATAAATAATTGGGGCGACCTCCAAATAAGATTAAACCACAGGATTGTTGTTGGAAGCTTCCTTGTCAAAGAAGAAACAAACACGGGATTTCCACGCAGATGTTACATGTACTCAACCCTGCTTGGTGTGAGCTGCCGTCTCACGCATTTGGAGGCGAGTAAAAAGAACACACGAATTCAGGAGCATGCATGCAGCTTAACAACCTTTTGTTACTAACTAAGTTATTTTTCCAAAAGAATAGCAAAAACGTCCTTGAGTTGAAGATAGAACTTTAGAAGTGCTACTGAAATTCAACAGAGAATTGATCTCTGGTGCCAGGCTCCTTACCCTGGGAACATTCTAACCTGTATCGGTGAAAGACGTACTTTTATTTTTTTAAAAGAACAATAAAATCAAGAGAAACTAATTTTCACCTAGCTTGTGGTGGTGGTCAGTAAATGCTGCTTCGTTTGTGCTTTTATGTTTGCTCGTATGGTGGTGAAAAACTTGTTTTGTAACCAAGTAACTAAATACGAAAAAAAAATCCTACTTTAAAAAAAATTCCCTTCAAGTCAGCTTCTTAGAAGTAAGTGTAATTGGGGTATGTTTGTATTTTGCTCAGGGTATATTCGCATTTGGTCACTGGCTTGAGTTTTTCAGTTTGCCTTATTTCTTCTCTTCTCAAATCTCTTGGACCCCACGGAGTTGGTGTGTGGAATTGTTTGTGTCGAACAGAACTTTTGCAAGGGATCTCTGTCTGGAACACTCAAGCTGAGGAAGGAAAGGACCTACGGCCTGGTATTGTGTGGCCCCCGCAGTAGGAATGGTTTTATATTTTTAAAGGGTTATTTAAAAAAAAATTTAGGGGCACCTGGGTGGCTCAGTTGTTAAGCGTCCGCCTTCAGCTAAGGTCATGATCCCAGGGTCCTGGGATCGAGCCCCGCATTGAGCTCCCTGCTTGGCGGGAAGCCTGCTTCTCCCACTCCCCCTGCTTGTGTTCCCTCTCTCGCTGTCTCTCTATCAAATAAATTAAAAAAAAAAAAAATCTTAAAAAAAATTTAAAAAGGAAAGATAACCATGTGACAGAGACCATACATAGCCTGGAATACTGACTCTCTGGCCTTCACAGAAAGTTGGTTGGCCCCTGCTGGATGAAGGTCTTGTGTTTTAACTTTAAAATGCAAGGATGTCTTGTATTCTTCCCAGTATGTATGTATGGGTTTGAATTGATAAGGACGTTCTTTCTGGTCATGTTCCTACTTCCTGGGCCTGGAGCCTCCCACCTCTGGTTTGAGAAGTCCCCTCAACACAGACTCCCGTGACATCTCTGCTTGCCTTTTTTTGTGCCAGCTGTGGGATCTCGGACAATTGATTTCACATCTCTAGGCCTCAGTTTCCCCGTTTATGAAGGAAGAATAAGCTGACTTCACAGGGTCACCATAAGGCTTCAGTGAGAATGCCCTTCCCCCATTCTTTCACTCTCGAAAACGACAGAAGCGCTGAGTGCATGCCAGTGATTTATAACCTTTTATTCGTGAGGGTGTCCTTAAGTACAATCGGGGTGCATATAAAACAGTGTAACATTCCTGCTCTTACCCACTGGAGCAGTGTCTCCTTTTTAATTCCTGTGACTACCGAAGGCACTTGGTCTCCGTGAACTGTGTGCGTCTGAGGTGTGGTAACCAGGAGGGGAAAGAACTCAAACGGGCCCACTCGACACAATGGAAGGGTATGGGAATGACTTGGGAGGGGGAGGCGGCGGCACCCACTTTGGTGACTTCCTCCCCGTCATGTAAACTCAGTTGCCAGTGATCAGTTACGGTGGTTATATCTTTCCTAAAACCTCACAATTTCAGCACAATTCACTGATAGGGGCAGCGGGTGGGGTCTGTGTCGCCTGTTGGGTTTTTCTTGTTTGGTACATCACTCAAAAGTTCCACTGATGCCCCAGACTCAGGGCGGTGGTGTTTATAGTCATTGTGAGGGGTGTCTGTGACGTTTGGAATTTGAAGATGGATTTTGACGGTGCTAAGCAGAGTCCACTGGGTTTGGTTTTGTTTGTCTGTAGCAAGTTGTTCATTCACTGGCTTTGGTTCCGTTGAAGTCCGCGTCGCGAGCGTCCAATTCTTCGTCAGAGCCGTCTGCGTTTTCAATGACCCGACGTCCTCCAGACCTTCTAGCCGGAACAAAAGAGGTCTCGTTTCCTCGCCTGTGGGATTTAAGAGAATACGTGTTTCTTGAGTACCGAAATCTCCCTCGGGAAGGGAGATTTTTCAAGGGGCAAAAAACAAATGCAGACAAACTCAAATGAGAGGCAAGTATTCAGGTTGAAGTCAAGCCCTGACCAGTTTCAAAGTCTGGTGGCATTTCATCAGCTGGCATGGGGGAAAAGTAGATTTTTCAAAGCAAGGCCATCTGCTTAAAAAAAAAAAAAATCTGGCTTGGTCATCCAATGACCCACAGGATTCTGGTCTGCTGGGATCTTTCATTTAGAAAAGGGAAAAACAAGTTCCCATGGGTTTATTCCAAACCCAGTGGACTCTGCTTAGCATGTTCCCATGGGTTTATTCATACCCTCTGGGGCCAGTATAAAGGGGAGCATGTTCAACATGCTGTACCTCCTTGCCTTCAGAAGGTAAAAAGGGGGAGGGTTTTAGGTTTTCAGTTGTAAGGATGTGGAAATGAGCATCAAAGGCAGCCTCAAGGGAGAGGGGTCACTGCATGGATGCCAGAAGTGTGCTCTTGGTTCAGGCAACGCAGGGCCCCCTGCTTGTGTGGAGCACAACTCTTGGCATGACTTCTCACAGGGCGGAGGTCTTGTCTGATTTTTGCTCACCATGCAGGCACCATGCATGGCCTATAATAGATATTCAATGAATATTTGTTAGAAAAGTGAGATAGACCTGTTAATCTAAGGTGTATTTTAGCTCTAGCTGGTAGGACACCCCTTCCTCTCTGTCCTTAACAGCTCCCATCTCTGGAGTGCCAGCTGCCCTGAGTTACTGTCAGAGCCTGCCCAGGTTAACTGAAGTGAGGCTTTGCTTAGAAGGGCAGGCAGGCAGGCAAAAGGAGAAGACCGATCCACCTGCATTCAACCTCCTCTGCTTGGAAGACATGGTTGCCATCTTTTCTGCGACCACAGCAAATAATCTGTTGGGCTCTGGCCATCCGGCCCTGTTTGACCTGAATCGGAGGACCTGTCTTAACTCATTTTAGGATGCCTGAGAGGAGTGCAGACTCTTTGTAATGAAAACGGCCCGCTTTGCCACACAAAGGCTGGACAGAAAAGCCACGAGGGAGAGAGCCCATTCCAGTTATCCATGCTTTAGTCAAAAGGGGCAACTCAGAGAGGTAAGACTGGAGGCAAAGCAAGGCCCAGAGTGTCCTGATCGCTGAGAAGGGGAGTCCCAACCTGAGCCTTTTGGGGTCTGAGGGTGGGAGAAACATGGCTGGGAAAACCCGCCTAGTTTCAGAGAATGGTACTTCCTGGGGTGCAGCGATCAGGAATGAATACTTCAGGTCGTAGCCACTCCCAGCTGAAGATTCTGGCCAGCCTCACTCACATCAGAGGGAAGCATGGAGGTGCCTAGCGCCCTTAGAACTAACTCACTTTCCATCACTCTCTCTCTTCTAGAAGTGACCTTAAAAAGTCTTGAGCACTGTGCTTTCCAAGAACCTGGGTCCCAGAGAAGGGTCTCTGAGGACAGGACGAAAAAGTAGCGGCTGCTGCTTGCACGGGTCTCCTGCATCTCCCCTCCCGGTTCCAATTTGATGGGACAGCCTGGGGCTGGAAACTCTGTCTCCCCTACCATTCCAGGCTCCAAGCACTCTTTACCTCTTGGGACAGTCTGTGCAAGTGAGAAGAGTTGAAGTGAGAAATGGGTTCCCTTGACCTGAGAGGTAAATCACACCCTGGGTCACCGTAAGTCTCCCCCCTCCCTCCACCTGCTTAGCTGCCAGTCCTGTGAGCCTGTCTCCCAGTTCAGGTGCCCTTCTTGAAGGAACTGGTTTCAAATTCAAGGCAGAGGTTGGCACTGGCTGCATCTGTCCCATGAAATAAGGGAACCCCGTAAAGATTGACTTAAAGGGTCTGATCCTGGAGCATTTGGCTTCTAGTCATGGACTCTGAGAACTTCTGCAAGGCCCTAGGGGCACACCAGGAGTCAGCACAAGACTATGAGCCCTTGCTTTGCAAGGACTCGGTTTCCCACCAACTAGTGGGTCCGACATTCCAGTCTGAGCTGGCAGGAGCCAGAAGCTCTGTCTTAGAGGCTGAAAGCTCTTCCTAAAGCTCCTGCCAATACCTCAATCAGCTTTAAGTACTTGCAGAGTGGCAGCAAAGCTGAGATTCCCCAAAAGAGCAGAAGGGGGACACCAGCCAGGGCTGGCTTGGCCTCTCGAGGAAGATGAGAGGGAAACCCGGCCCCAGTGCCTAACTTCACATGTGCTAAAGCTGTTAGACTCCTAGACAAGTCGAGGCTTCTTAACTCTTTCTTGGGAAGGGCCCTGTGTTCTTCCTCCAGTCTCGGGTGTCCACTCCCCACTGTGAGTATGTGCCCGCAAGACCTCTGGAAAAGGCTCT